GATGGGCTGAATTGCACAAAACGCATGATCGCACCGGCTAGTCTGGTGCGCGTTGCCATTTATCTGCATTGTATAGCTGCCAAAAACGCATGAAAATTGTGCACATGTGGGCGAAAATTGTTTAAAAAAAAACCGTTTTCAGTAGGAGGCTTCCCTATTTATGAAGCTGATTCTTGGATAAACCTGAGAGCGAAGTTCCATTGTAGGATATGAAGTCAGGAAAAAAGGGATACCCTAGATTGCAGTCAGCCTGGGGATGGAATCAACCTTTGCTTTCGTGAGATTTTGAGGCAAAAAAAGCAGAGGCGTAGATGTTGCGCGCAGTCGCAGGCTGTCAAAGGTCACACATTGGACTGTGTCGAATTTTTGTGTAAATTCAATCAAATCTATTCGCTCCGAACTTCACGTAAGCATCAGCTTCATAAAGAAGGAATCCCCTACCGAAGACGGGTTTTTGAAATGCAGCTCCCACTCGCATAAGTTCAGTTTTCACTTGCTTTTGCTTCTTTTTTATGCGTTTTTAGCATCTATGCAGTGCAATAAAGCACATTATCGCGGGGTTGTGTATGTATGTGTGCCTCTGTGTGCATCTGTAACCAATTTTCATCTCGAGATCCACAAAAGCTATAAGGCTGAAACTTTGCTAACTGGATCTACACATACTTGCGAGCCTCTATTCTCAAAATGGTCTCTATTTTCACGCACTTTTAGGTCTCTCGTTCGCATATGTCGAAGTTTAAACTGGCATCGTGCCAATTCCAGATTTAAGCTGTCCAAGAAGTTGTAGGAGGATGCAATTTTGCAATATTACTTTTCGCTCATTGTTGTGCCCGGAAAAATAAATTGAGTTTCCAGCCCCTTTGCATCTCCCGTACGGGCACGTGAAAATTTCACGCAGGCACTTTTGTAACTTCAAAGTTATAGCAGATAGAGGACTGGAATTTTCTGAGCATAACCGACGGTGGCCTTTGGTAAGATGGGCGTGTAAATGACTTTCACGTTCCTTTCATGCCTCACGTACGTTTCACGCACACGTGAAATTTGACGTAACTTCGCAACCAAAACAGTTAGAGCACTGGAATTTTCTGCATTGTTTTCATTCTTTACCTATGCGTCCAGCGAGAGCCGTGTTTGCTTCCATCATCCTAAATCTGGATATTGCCAACAAACAGTTTGTTCTCCGCCGCAGTCATCACTCTTACGTCTCTGTCAATCCTCTTGCCCGTCCCGAGTTACCCAAATTCCAGCCAGAAAATTTCACGGGGCCGTATGTGATAACCACGCATAACGGGGGCTGAATTTGATAAATTGAAGTTGTAGATGAGTTGGGAACATTTCTTGAAAGTTTCAGCCTCCCAGTTTTCTTGATGACCCGGGACTTTATTTGAGCAAGCGCACGCGAAGACAGCATTTATGCTGCCGCTCACGCACGAACACGTAAAATTTAACGCGACTCCGCGACCAGAACAGCTAAGGTGTTGAAATTTTTTGAGCGTTGCTCAAGACTGTGTTTGAGTAAACGTACACGTAAACAGCATCGACGTTGCCACTCACGTAAGAACACGTGCAGTTTGACGTGATTCTGCAACCAAAGCATCTAGAGTGTTGAATTTTTAGGGCATGGATCGGGAGTCGTTTTAATAATTCCCAACAGTCATGATGGCCATTCTCAGTTCTCTTAGTCAGAAGCATTTGCCAGAAAAAAAAGTGCCACTAACGACAATAACTTGCGAGGGGACTGTGCAAAAAACGCATCCTCGTACCGGCAGTCGGTGCGCTGTCGACTAAGTTTTGTTTTTATTCATAAGTTCGATTCTTTGATCTCACTTTTATTTAGCTTTTTTTTTTCATAAGCTCAGGTTTGCTTTAATTTACTTTTGTTTGTGGCGCTGTGTTATCCTTGTCTCTTTACTGCTGTTTCCAGTTCTTGCCTCAAACTCCCGAGTAGTACTTTTGTCCCTCTGTTTCATCCTGCCCCCAAATCCTGCCTTTAGAACGGCATCTGGGCACCCACCACCCACTACCCCCAATCATTGTCACCATTTATCGTCTCGAACTCCTGACTAGCATCCTCGTTCCCCGTTTCGATCCTGCCCTTAACCAGTACTCCCGAACCGTATCTGAACATTTACCAACCAGTCCTCGCCTTCCCTCTGTTTCCGCCAACCACACTCAATCCCTGCCCACCATCCCCCAACACGCGCGATGCAGCAAAGGAACACTGGATAGCGCTTGGCAAATTGCCAAGCGTGCCGGCAAGTGGTGTCGCGAAATAGCGTTGGTAGACAAGCAGGAGCATTTACAGAGTACCGGCCGAGCCGAGGTATAGTAATTTTCTGTCGAAAATGGCATTAGCGAAGGGACGAGGACATCTCCCACTCAACTACCGTTTGCCAATCCGGGGGTATTGGGAGTCTGTGAGAGTGAGTTTGGGCGGGAAAGGAGGCGAGGCAATGGAGGGCAGAGGGATGTTGCTAGATCATCGTCGTAGCGCCTTGTGTTGATTGCGTCATTTTACAACGTATAAGTTTGCATTTTTCAGTTCTCTGGAGGAGTTTCCGGAGGGAGACGAGTTCATGGTGATGGTGGCGTTTTGATGTCATCCGGGAGTGGGGACTCGACGGGAGCTGTTAGAAAATATGCCGTTGAAGTGGCGGAGCGGACGAAGGAGGAGGAGGAGGATTGCGCTTTGACCAGTCTCGATTGGCTTATCACGTACAAATTACCAGGTAAGCTTGATAATAGCACACCGGTACATGTTCTTCCGGCTGCTCTTGTCAGTGATTCACTCGAATCTTCTGGCTGTCACCGGGACAGAAGTTTCGACTCGTGGGTATTCGGAAGTCTCACTTTGTATTTGTAATATGTAACGTTTGACTGTGTTAATTATTATGAGACTGAGTTTGTATGTGACATGCTGCCGTATCGCTTTCGCGGTTGAATAATAACAGGATAAAATCTCCAGGTTCCACTGTGGTCTAATAGTGGCAGCGTTTAAGATGAGGTAATAATACTTATAGCAGCGACCTCTCGCGACTTCTAAAGCCTTCCAGAGGCTTCTGTTAGTAATTCCGTTAAGCTGGTAATCTTTTCATGGGACGGATCGATTGTGGTGAAAGGCGGTAGATGAACAGATGAAAGGATTTGTGAATGTTCTCCACGCAATGGTCAGCGCAAGTTTGAACTGCTATCAGTAGAATGAAAGCTTCCACTGGAGTGTCCACAGATCGTTAATTTGAAAAAAATAGAAACATGGAGAAACTGACATCTGCATCGATGAGTAGGAGGAGTGCCGTGAAAGAAACAACAGTCGATCAAAGCACCTAAAAATATTAAACCTTAGAAATAGTAAAATCTTATAGTAATATTAATTTCAGAATATTTTGCGCTTCCAGAGGAGGATTCATCGTACCAGCGCCTTGTCTACTTTATTCCTAGCAAAACAGACTTGGCCGTTGAGGGCGGTTATTACGGGCAAATGGACCAGTATAAAACGCAGCATTTGAATAGGAAGGTTGCAGGTGAGACAGGTGCAGTTCATTTCTTGTTTGTTCGAAGTTAACTCGCAAAATGCTCAGTTGTATTTTAAAAGCATTCGGAAAGTGTTCAGCTGGCCGCAATAACAACGTGGGTTTGACATTTCGGAGTATCCTTTCTCCTACAGACATGTTAAAATCGTAATTGACGTCTGCTGCCAGACTGAGATCACTGGAGCAAATTCACCAAAAAACCAATCTGTTAACGGTTAGTTGGTTCGTCTCGGCTACACATAGTTGCTAGTGGGCTTAGCATTTTATAGAGGCAACTCTTTTCCCATCCCCCTCTTCTCCCCCTTTTACTGCCTGTGCTTTAAGCAACCCCCAAAAGAGGGGACCACGAGCAGTCTTGCCAGCGAGTAGTTGTTGTTGTTAACGTTTTACTTGCTGGACTATTTCCATTTCTCTTCTTGTCCCATAAAGAGTGAAATATGGAAAGGACTAATAAGGAGTGAAATGTTTTGTTTTTT